AATTATTATTATTTAAGTCCAAAATGATTTTTCGGTGCACGTGAAGTGTTAACCGGATGTTATCAGGTAGCCACGGATATATAATTATTATGTCTAATTAAAATTGAAGAAAAAGTTTCCCAAAAAATAAGTTGAAGAAAAAGTATTAATTAGTCAATTGATTATTTCATTCTTTAAATGTAGTTTAGGTGGAAAAACTGAAAGTAAATTTTTTATTTTATTTTATTTTTTTTTGGGTGATTTATGCTCTTTTATAGAATCGTATTATATTTTTATTGTTCATGAACTCAATTTTTACCAAGCACATGAACAACTCTGTTTAACTAAAGTGAATATTATTGAAAAATCCACTCAAAAAATTAACGTTTTCCTTCTGCTTTACTAGTTGGGGATGTTCCTAAATTTTCATCTCATTAGTAGAAAATTGCATACGATAATTACGATCTTATCATTTAATTAACATCTTGTGTAGTTAGAAATAAACTGTGATCAAGTATTTAATTATTCCGCTCAAGATGGTAATCTATATTGCAGAATCAGCTGATGTTTTGTTGATGATTATTGCTTATACCACTGTTGCCATTGCGAATGGGTTATCTAGTTTCCCCATCACTCGGCTCTCTTTTCTCCTCTGTTCTAATTCCATGTACATATGCATGTGCATATACTTATATATATATATATATATAATCACTTCACTCATTTTTTTAATTATGTCATATATATATATATATACGAATGTGTGTGTTATATACTGTTTATAATTCTCCACCCATTTTTGCTTTGATTTATGTGTGTGTGTGTGTATATATATATATAAACCCAAAAGATTTGCAACTCTCTCGTAATCCATGTGCGATTGATTTTCTTTGCATTCAATTTCATTTGGTTGATATACGTGTATAACTGTGTATATATATATATATATGTGTGTGATTGGTGGTGGTCGTGGCCATGGTAATGATGGTGAAAATGATGATTGATTAGTGCAAACGAGTGTGAGACCAGGGGCAATGGATATTTTGGTCACTTAACATGGGTTTTATAGAAAGTTAAGTCATTTTATACACTAATTTTTTTTTTTTTTAATAAGTCATAAACAAAATCAAAGGAATAACAATGTCTTTTAACATGTAAAAAATGGTTTGACACATTTGTAAAGTAACTCTTGGGATGTAAATGAAAAACGGAATAAAGTTTGTAATGTGACTGATATTAATTTTTAATGTGACTGATACTAATTTTTGAATGATATTTTTGTGAGTCGTGCGTAGCGGAATGTATATAGAAAAGTTTTTGTTTGTTTTTATAAAAAAGATCTGTGTCTTTACTTTACTTATTTTATGTTTTAGCAATTAAACAGTTAATCACATGCAGATAAAATAAAATAAAGTATAAAGTTAGAGATGACACCAGGATTTAGCGAGGAAACCCCAGTTGATAAAATACGTCAACGGTAAGAAAAACCTCGTGGACTTGTGCAGTCCAAAGTAAACCAATCCACTATACTTGGAACAAAGTATACTCAACTTTGACTTTGGCTCACACCCTATCGTTCTACACCACACCAACCGCTGACGATCCTCTGGCTTTGCGACTCCTCGTCCAACAGCAACTTGATCTCAGACTGACACTTGATATTTGTAGAAGAGTAGCAGGTAGATCAGACAGCACTCCACGAATGCTCCAATCCTTCCAAAGTATGACTGCGTTTACTTCTGTTCTTCAATTGTCTGAATGATGTAGAAGAAAATCTACTTCGTCTGATCGATATTGATACAACTGTATGATCACGATCAGGATACGAACACCACAACTCTAACCTATCTAGGAGAATATGTATATGTGTTCTAGAAAGATATCAGAAAAATCAACTCTGATTTTCTGCACAAATAATCTTCATAAGGCTTTGAATAATATCGGAATTAGAATGTAAAAGCCGTGTATAAAACAATATATATGACATGGTTTATATAGATTCTAGAATGACCTAATCCTTCTGAACATAAGGTAAATTTCGTGCATAGGATTTGGTATAATTTTAGACCAACTGGAAAATAAATCAGAATAAAGAAACTGCAGTTGTATTGCATATAGGACATCTTGAACCAGTTCAAGGAAAGCTGAACCGGTTCAAGTTTGGCAGTGTGTCAAACTTGAACATCTTGAACCGGTTCAAGGAAGCTGAACTGGTTCAAAGTTGGCAGACTTGTGGATTTCGAATTCCTTCAGCCTTGGTTCATTCTACGGAAATTGTAGTCTAACATGGAAAGTGTAAAATGTCCAACTTTATTCATATTCCTTCCTAATGTAGTGTCCTTACCCTTTTCATCACAAACTCTTCAAGTATGGTAAGTCTGAACTCCTTGCTAGTTGTGTAATTCTTATTGACCTCGATGACTTATAAGATAAGTAATATAAATTATAACTCAACTTAGACTTGTTGTGTTTACGATAATTGTCAATACATAAATAATATCTCATAATTTCAATTTCAATGTTACATTTGACCAAACTTGATGTCAGTGTGATTAACGCTATATAATATTATATTTCACAAATCACAACTTGGACCACTAGCTCAATTAACATGTGTAGTACATTTATAGATGGGTTATAACTTGATGACCCCTTTAAACAATTCTTGGTTCCGTGCAATCAAATTGCATCATGTGAATAACCTCGAAAATCATATAATCCACTATTGTGAAGCCAGCCACCATTTTTGACTCCAAGATAAGTTTTTTGAAAACTTTTTAAATATCAACTACCTGTTGTTTTTATTCTGTCACAGTATAGATACGATTGATATCTTTAATTCTGTATTTAATCTTGTGTCTTGAAAATTAAATCAACAATTACAACTTGATCAAATTTATTTTAACACAGATATTTATCAATATATAATATTATATCTCACAAGTTGGACTACTGAATTAATATGTGTAGACATTTATAGGTATGGTGTTAGTAACTTGAAGACAGGTCCTTCCAACAATTCACAGCAGTGTGCAATCAATTGCATCATCAGAATGATCTCCCACTAGTTATATTGCATACAATACTGACAACTCTTTGGTGTAGTTGCTTTAATTTTGTGAATAACCAAATGGGTGCATTTTTTTTTTTTTTTTGTGTTTGTTTGGATTGTGAATCTGAAGATTTCCTATTTTTGATTTTTCTTTCTATGTTTATAGTTTAATTTGTTCATTGAGGGGGACACAATTTTGATGGGTGGTGTTATACAAGACATTTATTTGTAACTTGTAATTTTTTCAAATTAGTTTCTAATTTGACAATCTGGTTAAAGAATGTGGAATATCAATGGTTGATGCATTTGTTAAAATCAAATTGTTTGGTGTAAGTTATTGTAATATTTTAAAAATGAAATAGAAGTAGATAACTAGATATATAGTCATTTTATTTTATTTATTTATTTTCATATTTTGAAATATTACCCAAATTTTTTTTGGGTATTTTCGAATATTTGGGGAATTGTAGTTTTGTTTCTTTCACATCTTTTGTACGTACTCTTCCCATTTACTCTGGCCTACTTGTTTTTTTTTTGTCTTTTACACATGATATGAATGATCGTGAAACCATCCAACCATTCTTGTCTTGAAGCTAAATACTTTGAAAACGTTTTAAATGCATATTCTCTCAACGTTTGGTTTCCTCCACTCGTATTTATCTTACTAACAACTCGTTTTTATTGAATCAAAATATAGATATGAGTCTTATCTTCAATTCCGTATTTGATCTTGTATCTTAAAAATTAAACCAATAAGTATAACTCGATTAAATTTGTTTTAACACCTAAATTTATTAATATATAATAAGGTTAATTTCACTGACATTTTCTTATATTTGGCCAAATATTACATTAAAGCACTTTTTAAAAATTACTAATACTTAGGTCCAAAAATGTCTTTTCCATTAATGAAACCATTAAAAAAAAATATACTGTGCAATCAATTGCATCACCTCTAAAATCGTATAATCCACTATTGTGAAGCCAACCAATTAAGCAGTCTTGACTTGAAAAGACTAAATACATGTCGAAAGATTTATATATATAAATTATAATTTTATGTTTTTAGAGTAGATGGGTAATAAATACGGTAAGAGAGTCAAATGTGTTGGAGTTCAAAAATTTCACCATCACACTTATTAAAAAATTGAAAAACACGCAAATTGCACCCAAACTAACAGTTTAAGCTTTTGGAGTAGACGGTTATTAACAATGTATATCCTTAAATATACTCTACTAGTCTGATCTGCTTGACACAGTAAAAAAAGATGAGGTTTTGGACTCTCATTCTCTTTGCCTTCATGATAAATATTTTGAAAACATTTTTAATGTATAATCTCTCAACCTCTCGTGTCCTCTACACACATTTATCTTATTAATGTGTTGCTTTTATCATATCAAAGTATTAACACGATTGGTATTTTCAATTTCACATTCGATCTTGAGTCTTGAAAATCAAATCGACAATTACAACTCGATCAAATTTGTTTTGACACTAAAATTTGTCGATATATAATATTATATCTTACTGTAAGATTATTAATTAATTGTTCGGAGTTACGGCTTAGTTCGTTATTAAAGAATCTCGACATTGAACTTGATCTCAACAAAATTTACTATCATGAATCGAAATATTTATATCTAACTATATTTATTTATGCATTATAGGTATGTGAAAATAATGAAATTCTAAGATTTGAAATTCATATTTATTTGTGATGAATACTTGACTCTAATTATTAGAGCTTACACTTGCAACTTAGACCAATCAATTCATACAATGATAAGTATGTTCTTAGTAATTTGAAGATAGGTCCTTCCCACAATACCTCTAAAATCATATGATCCACTATTGAGAAGCCAGCCAACCATTATTGACTAGAAGACAAATATTTTGAAAACATTTTAAATGCATATGTTCTCAGTGAGACACAATACATGCCTTTATATATACCCTTATAGTCTCATTGCCTTGACACATAGTAAAAATTAAAGATGAGGTTTTGGACTCTCATTCTCTTTGCCTTAGCCTCATTATTAGCTATATCAGCTCAACAATGTGGTACACAAGCAGGGGGTGCTCTATGCCCAAATGGGCTATGCTGCAGTCAATGGGGTTATTGTGGCACCACACTGCCTTACTGCAGAGATGGTTGCCAGAGCCAATGCACTGGTGGTCCAACTCCAAGTCCTCCCCCTCCCCCTCCCCCTCCAACTCCAAGTCCCCCCACTCCAACCCCTACCCCCTGTGGTAGCGATGTCGACATTAGCTGCATCATCACCCCATCTCTTTTTGACGAAATGCTTGCATACCGGAACGATGCTAGATGTCCAAGTAATGGTTTCTACCAATACGATGCTTTCATCACTGCTGCGAAATCTTTTGATGGATTTGGCACAACCGGAGATGTTGATACTCGAAAAAGGGAGCTTGTAGCATTCTTGGCTCAAACATCTCATGAAACAACAGGTTAATTAGTTTAAATCTTAACCCTCAAGTTCTTTACTATGATTATAATTACTAAGGTCTTGTACATTTTTTTTTGTTGGTTACACAGAGCCTAATTGTTTTTGGTGCAGGTGGGTGGGCTACTGCACCAGGTGGTCCATATGCATGGGGATATTGCTTCATTGAGGAAGTAGGGACACCGCACTATCCCTGTGCTGAGAGCTATCCATGCAATCCCAATAAAGAGTATTATGGTCGAGGACCCATCCAACTCACTCAGTATGTCTCTGAGAGTTCTCTACCCAGCCTGGCACATTAATTCGATAATGATGATCATTTTATTTTGACACCAAAAAAAAAACAATATTTTTTAATTTTATTAGATTTAATTTTCAGAAAACATTGTTTTATGAAAACAAACTTCTTGTACGTTCATTAGTATGTTACTTTATACTTACAAATAGGTCAGTTATTATACACTTTATTTATTTATTTTTTCAGCAACTACAACTATGCCCAAGCGGGTGAAGCCATTGGTGAGGATCTCATAAACAACCCGGAACTGGTAGCCAACAACGCAATCCTATCATTCAGGACTGCCATCTGGTTTTGGTCTGATTTACTGATTCCTCATCCTAATGGTTGGTTTTAGTTTTCTGGGACTGAGGATGATGATTTCCAATTAACAAACACTTGTTCTTTTTGTTTTCATATTCAGCATATATCAAATGACCTTAATAAAATAAAAAAATCGCAAAATAATATAATTTTCGAATTTGACACAAGAAATTATGTATGATTGATAATTGTTACCTGGTTCTAGTGATATTTATATCCAACTATCAATTTTTTTTTTTTTTTGGAATGGTAAGGCTGATGAAGTTAAGGATGAAGTGAATACATGGGCGGAAAACGCAACCAAAGGGCTCATCAAGGATCTTGTAAGCAATCTTGCTGAAGATACAATAATTGTGCTAGCAAATGCGCTCTACTTCAAAGGAAATTGGGAGAAAAAGTTTAATGCATCACAGACGAGACAGAGATTTTCACCTACTCAATGGAGAAAAAGTTTCAACCCCTTTTATGACCTCTATGAATTACCAATTTTTCGGATCCTTTGATGGTTTCAAACTTGTCAAGATCCCGTATCAAAAGGGCGAAGATGGAAGGCAGTTCTCAATGTCAATATTTCTTCCCAACGAGAGAGATGGGCTGCAGAGTTTGATACAACAGTTTGAGTCTAATAATTGGTTCTTGCATCATCTTTCCGAGCTACGAAAAGTTGAACTTGATGCTTTCTGGATTCCAAAATTTAAGTTCCCACACAAAATGGATGCTAAAAAAACCATCAAAGAATTGGGATTGACAAGGCCTTTCAAATATCATGAGGAGCTCACAGTAATCTCCAACACCAAGGGACTTGTTTTCTCAGAGATTTTTCAAACATGTTACATAGAAGTCAACGAGGAAGGTACAGAGGCTGCAGCTGCTGCATATATGGGTAAATTGTTGTGCCGTTCTGGTTATATGGCTCCAAAGCCAACCTTTGTGGCCGATCATCCTTTCATCTTCATGAGTAGGGAAGAATCATTTGGGGTTGTGTTATTCACTGGAGCTGTCATCAATCCTCTCTTGAAAGGCTGATTCACTCATCGCAGAATGGTGAAATTGATGCTGCATACTGGAGGATTTCAAAGTTTTCTTCTTCTTCTTTGGTAAATAAGATTTCAAAAAAGTTAGCAAGTTGCAGATTCATACACTCATAATATTGTTCTTAACAAGGCTGCTGCTTTTTTTTTTTTTGGTTATTGTTGTTGTTGTTGTTGTTGTCAAACAAAGGTACATTAAGAAGGATTACAATCCACATAAACTGCCCGGAGCATGTTGACTTTTGCTTTGATACCACTTTCTGACTTTACTCTGATACCACTTTGTTAGAAATAGTGGCGTAGAAACACATACAACACTATAATATTTGGAAGAGAATGATATGGAGGAATACTTGGAAAATTATTTTTATTCCACTTCTAATTCATATTCTAAAATGACTAAAGTACATGATTATATAGGTCTCACATATGTATGCATAACCATGACATTTAAAAGCCTAATTACATCCATTATTCCTACTAACATAACCATTAGTTGCATAACTCCCACTAACATAGTATTTAGGAGACTTAATTTACATACCTCTTAGTCTTACATAACCTTCTCCATCAAGACCATTTACTACCCCACTAACATGAAATGCACACATGCATCATGTATACCAAATACTTGAAAATACTAATTACAACTAAAATTCTAAAATCAAGTTTATTTTCAACACCCCCCTTTAAACTTGATTTTGTGACTTGAAAGTAAACTTCTTATTGATCTTGGAGGTTCGATCAAAAGTTTGTTACTTTGTCTTGATTTCCACCTCCTTCAATTGCAACAATCTTCTTGGCCATTTTTATTGATGTATATGGTTTGTAAAAAATCTTCAAATGCTTGTTTGATGTCTTCACATAATTATATATTATCCTCTTTATATAAACGCACCATCTATCTTTTTTCTTTTTGAATCTTTTATGACTCTTCAACTTCACATATGCTTCTTTTTTAGAGTCAAAAAATAACTCCATATTCACCCAACCTGTGTCAATTACAAAACTCTCCAAACCATTTTTCAAAAAATAATTTGAGAAATTATTATCATCTTGAGCTTCAATCTCATACTTCGTTGGAATAACTTTCTCCAAGAAAAGTTCATCATTCTCCACAATATGAATACAATTATCATAATATTTGATTTTGCTTTCCAATTGAGATGAATATGAAAAAATTAAAATTTTATCAAATAAGTTATATCTAACTTCTTTAAAATTGAAATTTGGAACTATACTTGAAATTGTTAACTCACCAATTTCATCAACTTTTGCCTCTTCTTTAGCACTTTCTTCTTCTTTAATTTCTCTTTTCACTTCAATCTCATCCACTTTTTCAATCTCTTCCTTATTCTCTATTTCACTTTGGCCATCAACTTTTAAATCTTCAATTTCTTCAACTTCATTTGTGTTGTACGCCTCTTCATTCTCCACAAATTTCTCCTCAAGACTTTTATAATCAGCCTTCGTAAACTCATCATCCTCAATGCATTATACCCAATACTCCATGGGTCGTGATTCACTTCTATGATTGGAAACGATGGTCTCGATCATCTTCCAAACACAACTTGGAGTTTTGGACTCTCCAAAATACCCCCAAATTTCTTGATGTATTGCTTTCTGCAACACTACCAATACCTTTTCTTCTTTATTTTCTCGAAGCTTGTTAGACATGCCATTCTTTAGCTTTAATCCAACAACATCTCACAAATCACATGTTTTGAGGTATGAAGTTATGATGATTCTCATTCTTCTGTAATTAGAGAACATCATCTTCTCACTATGAAAATACATTTTCTCCCTTTCATCATCATCAAGGAGAAACATGTTTTTCTCAAATGTTAAACCTTTTAGGATCAACTTCGTCAGGCCTTCAGGATCATCTAGGCTCTGAATATGAAATCTGGCTCTGATATGTTGAAACCTAGCTCTAATACCACTTTGTTGGCTTTTGCTCTGATACCACTTTATGACTTTACTCTAATACTATTTTGTTGGAAATAGTGGCGTAGATACACACATAACACTATAATATTTTGGAAGAGAATGATATGGAGGAATACTTGAAAAATTATTTTTATTCCACTTCTAATTCATATTCTAAAATGACTAAAGTACATGATTATATAAGCCTCACATATGTATGCATAACCATGACATTTAAAAGCCTAATTACATCCATTATTCCCACTAACATAACCATTAGTAGCATAACTCCCACTAACATAGTATTTAGGAGACTTAATTCCCATACCTCTTAGTCTTACATAACTTTCTCCATCAAGACCATTTACTACCCCACTAACATGAAATGCACACATGCATCATGTATACCAAATACTTGAAAATACTAATTACAACTAAAATTCTAAAATCAAGTTTATTTTCAATAGAGCACTGCATCAGGCAAACAATCTAAAACAAGTCCTGCCCAAAACATTTGTGGGACAACGATGCAAGCCCATGAGCAACCCGATTTCCTTAACGATGTACATGGAAAAATTTCACAAGAAAAAAATTTAGAGGGCTCCGAAATGATATCAAAGAGGATGGGAGATAAATTTAGAGGCTTAAAACACTTAGACCTTTAATTGGTTGCGCTTGGTCATTCTCTATTTCTCTTTCCCTTCTAAAATAAGGTATGATGCACATCTTCAATCTCCCATTTAAAATTCAGAAAAGGATGGAAGCAAGAGAGGTACAGTTGGCAGCTAGGTATTAATGCTCTTTTATTTATTTATTTAGTTGTCTTTTACACTTTACATGCATGGTCCGCTACTGTGAAGCCGGCCAACCATTCTTGAAGATAAATATCGAACCATTCTTCAATTGACGACAACAAATATTTTGAAAACGTTTTAAATACGTGTAATACCCCATAAATTATTATTATTAGATATATATATATATATATATATATATATTTATGGACGCATATTGTTATATAGGAGTTATCTTTTAAAACAAAAAAAAAAGAAGATAAATAGGTGATTGCATTTAAAAGGGGATAACAGAGTTATCATTGAATTTATTTTGAAAATTAAAAGAGGTCTTATTGAACTCAACTATTGGATATATATATGGATATATCTAGACTTAGTTGTGTATTCAGTTTTTTTTTATCTACGTTGCTATCCCGAGGATTATTCGTTGTGGTGGAACAAAGAAAAGCTCAAGTGGTGATTGCAATTCAGGCAAGTTAATTCTTGCTTATAACTCTGTATTTATTTATGTTTTAATGGTTAGATTATTAAATATGATTTAATTGTAGAACTCATGATAATTATTTCTAATTGGAGATATGTAGATTATACAAGGAGTTATTGAATGATTAGGAATTTTATTTGATTCATTATTTCTTTTTGTTTAATTGGAGTTGCAGAGTGACATAGATTTATACTGATGGATTGTGGGGTTATATAAAGGAAATTTAGTAATTGGGGTTAATGATAGTTTTTGTTTTTAGTGTTAATTTAGTAAAGGAGATATGAAAGAATAAGACAAGGAATCCGTAGAAGCCTGGAAGGTGGAGAAAAGAATTGGAATAAATAATGGTAATGATGATGTGGTGGGATCCAGTAAAGTTTAGCAAAAAATCCAAACCTTTGGCTTTGGCTGCATGAGAGTTTTTTTATTAGGTAATCAGATGCAATACTGGCTACGGTGACTAGAATCATAAATTCAAAACAGAAGAACTGGCTTACGAAGTAGGGACTTCTTTGGGAATACGAAAAAGATCCAGAACAATGAAATCGATTAGTAACAGTAATTTAATACAAAACAATAAGAAATAGGTTGTTACAGTTGACGTTATGTTTGACTGGGATTCATGGATTTGGTTTCAATTGTTTATTTATGGAGTATTATATATAATTAATGGCAGAATAATTTTGAATGATATTGAGGTTGAAATTTAGAGTATAGTTTTGTAATTTATTCTAATTAGGACTATGCGTTGGTATTAATTAATTAATTAATTAATTAGTGAATGATTAATTAAGGTGTTGGATAAACTCATGATATTATGAGTAAAAGTTGATTAAGTATATTTAGTGTTTAATTAAAGAGATTAAACTAGTTGGAGCGGTAGTCTGGGACTTACCCAATGATAAGTTTGTTGAGTGCAGTTAGGGACTGTCTCCAGGAGTGAAATACTCTTTTGTTATGGCCATTGGGCTAAAGGTACCCTTATTATGTGGACGTGGTCAGGGGCCATCTAGGTGAGTAGACGTACAACCCAGTCACATGTGTGTATTTGGTAGTCAGGGACTATGCAATTCACACCATTTATTCGGAGTGGAGCCAGGGGCTCATGTGAGGTATTGGCATTAGAACGCCAACTGGTTGAGGGGAGCCAGGGGCTCATGTGAGGTAAGTGAAATTTTAGTAATTTAAATTCTAGATGTGTTACAGGTTCATAGTTTGAGTTAAAGTTATAGAATGACAATAACTAGTAAATCTTTTCGAGGTCACTTATTTAAGTACATATATACGGATTATAAGTAAGGATTGACTTGCTGAACGATGATAGTATTTAGCAATTTCTTGCTGAGCTTGTGAGCTCACCCCTTTATTACTTTCAGGTGCACATAGATTTAGCTTGCAAAGGAGGCTCAAGGGGAGATGGAGATTTTCGAATTTCTACATTATGATTTTATTATTGTTTCCGAGCAAACATTTTGTAATAAGATTCATTTTGTTGTTGAAATTTTTATTAGTTGGGGATGTGATAAATTTCCTTTGGATTTATGAATTTTTAAATAAAATGTATTCTTACGGATTTAATCATGGTTTTGGTGGATGTATGATGTGAGTCACGCACCAGATCTTAGTATAAGACAATAGTTCTTGTATTAGAATTTTTTGGGGCGTGACAATACGTATTCCCTGAACTTGCCCTGTTCTCTACAAATATTTATCCCTGTCGTTTTCATGCATTTAAAAAATATATATGATTCATATCTTCAATTTGGTATTTCATCTTGAGTCTTAAAAATTAAACTGACAATTCTAATTCGATCGAATTTGTTTTAATATCAAAATTTGTCAATATATAATAAGATTAATTTTACTGATATCTGCTTAAATTTTGTTAAATATCACAGTAAAATACTGTCAGTGACAATATTAAAAAAGTAAGAAAAGACA